TGTCTAGAGAATTTAATATCCAACCCAATCAATTACGTGATTGGATACGTAATAAAGAAAAGTTAATCAAAGCTTCGCCTAAGACATTTAAATTACATCACGGATGCTCGCCCTGTTATTTACAAATCGAAGAAACCTTATCTAACTGGATTACAGAACAATGCCAATTACAAAATCCTGTCACCCGAGAATTAGTAACTGCAAAGGCAGTCTCACTTACCCAAAATACGGATTTTCAAAATCTTCCAGGTGTTGAATCGTTCAAATTTTTAAACAATTGGCTTGATGGTTTCTTAGAACGTCACGACCTATCAATCCGTCGCTGAACCACCATTTCACAGCAATTACCTGAAGATCTAGAAGAAAAAAGATTAAATTTTCTTAATTATGTTTTAAATTTACGTATTCAATATAATTATCCCTTATTTCTTATTGGTAATATGGACGAGACGCCTCTTACATTTGATTCACCAAACCCTTCAACAATTGAAAGACGTGGTGCTCATACCATTAGTATTCGTACCTCAGGTAATGAAAAAAAAAATTTTACAGTTATTCTTGGATGTATGGCTGATGGTACGAAACTACCAGCGGTTTGCATTTTTAAAAGAAAAACTGTACCTCAAGGAAACTTCCCAGCAAATGTGTTCATTCGTGCAAATGTAAAAGGTTGGGTAAATGAAATAGAAATGCTGTGGTGGATCAATAATGTATGGACTAGAAGATCGCCTAACAATCCTAATTCTCTTTTAATCCTTGATTCCTTCCGTGCACACCTAATGGATTCAGTAAAACAACAATTTCTCCTTAATAATACAAATATAGCAGTGATTCCTGGTGGATTAACATCCAAATTACAACCATTAGACGTTAGTATTAATAAGAGTTTTAAAGCAAGAGTTCGTGAACATTATAATCATTGGTTAGTAGAAACAATTCATGAATTAACTCCTTCAGGACGTATTAAACGGCCTTCGTATTCACTTCTTGTTCAGTGGGTAGGAACTGCATGGGATTCACTTGAACCAGATTTAATTAGACGCTCGTTTAGTTGTTGTGGAATTTAATAGATTGTATAGATCGAAAAAATTTTTTTTATCATGTAGTGAATCATGATTATCATGATATGTAATAGACAAGGTTACACTTAATATGTATAATAAATATATTATGCATCCGCATGCACTATCAAAATATCCATATTATCCGGTAATTATTTTACGGGGGGGGTGGTTTAGCCCGCGAAATACGGTACTGTAAGTTATTGTAAGATATTAATACTTACATTTATGACATATCATAAAAGCTGTTGATACGTATAAACAAATATTAATACTGTATTATACAGAAATATTTATTTCAAAAATACTCGTATAGTATAATGAAATTTAACTCACGTGGAAAACGAGGAGAATAATTATTATATAAATCAGTAGTAGCATTACCGTATTGTTCTTCTATGATAATAATTGGTGCATTTGAATTAATTATAGAAATTTTCCAAAGATATGTTCCATACAAAACAACTACTATGATTGCGATTATTTCGAATAAATATTTTGTACATTTAACACAATGAATTGGGATTTGAGTTAAATTTTTTGTATTTAAAATTTGGTCTGCCATTTATTTTCTTTATGATATCATTAAAATATAAAAATATATAAAAATGCTTGGATTTTTATAATTCGAAATGCACGCAATATATTTTCTACGTCATCTGAATGAATTTTCAAAGTCTATAGTTAAGTTGATGCACTACTCACAATTTTGGATTATAAAAAAAAACATCTAGTGAATTGCATCTAAAATGCATGTATTGTTAGAGATGACATTATCATAAATATTTTGATAAATACGAGTTTACTAATTTCTCCTCCACTTCACTATCGGAGTACTATATAATAACACAGGTACTCCGGTATGTGAATAATTAGTAGAACCAATCAGAAGTGGGGAGAAATTAGTAAACTCTAGAATAACATTATTCGTATAATAAAATTATTACCTGAGTATCCTGCACATTTTTACTAATAATAATTTCATTCATATGAAATAATGCCTGTTTATGTCGAATCTTTTATACGTACGTACGTACGTACGTACGAGATATACATTTCCATGTAAAGATAATCTAATACACCACAATCTTTTACATAGAAATATTCATTGTGAATACGTACGTACTAAATTAGCCTCTATTTAAAAACTTCTATCTCTCTATATAGAGATAATATGCACTTACAGCTGTTTCAAAAGGATGTGGAAAACGATTTCCATATACCCATATGGTGAATCAGAGAATTTGAAAATTCCAATTAGTAAAAATTATAGCAGTTTTCAAAAAGGGTGTGAACAGACGCAAAAATAACTATATCACGGGAAATTCACGAAATTACCCAGATTTCCAAGCCAGCTCTTCAATTTTTACTAATGATAATTTCACACCTTATTGAAAACAGCGTAGTGTGATGATCTGCCCATTCCACATCGTACGTACGTACGAACTTACCCCGGGATACCAAATCGATCATCACGAAAATTTGAAAGTTATTTTTAGAAAATTCGTAAATTTTGAAAATTTGGTTAATTTAAAAATTTGTTAAAAAAAAGAAAGTATAATACAATGGAAAGTCAGAGAATCAAGTTTTAAAAATAGGCAAACCTTAATTATGCCATTTTAGTACGTAGCCATTGTACGTACGCTTTTTTCTTTTTTTATTTTTTATCTATTATTTATTATTTTTTTTATTTTTATGTTTTTTTTTTTTTTTTTTTTTGATTTGCTTAGGTCGATGCTGATGCAGATCTTTTTATCTTGTTAATCTCGTAAAATAAATTGCTGATTTTAACTATGTAACATTGGATTAGACTACATGTAATACAGTAAGCCATCAAGTTAAATTTGTTAATGAAAAATGACACGTGAGCTGACGTAGTCAGCGTTAGTATTATTATCGCGAGGATCGTCCTGATCAAGATACATGACAAAATAAAGAATTGCATGAATTTAGTAAATAGGGGATGATTGAAATGAGAGTTTAAGGATATGAATGAAATGAGAGTTTAGGGAAATTAGAATGAGGATGGTGAGAATTTAAGGAAGCAGAAATAAGTGATGGTCAGAAGTGCTTGTTTCTTTCACTGCCCGATTATCATTATCTGGCTTTATCGTTTTAGTCACTAGTCATTTAGTCGTGGTACCTTTATGTCAGATTCAAACCTATCGAAAAATGACTTGGCAGATATTTGCCGTAGTCTAGGTATATCATCAGAAGGAAATAAAACAGACCTCGTTCAAAGAATAAAAGAATACCCACAGTATGAGGGTTGCAGAGAAAATGGTGAAATGTTAGGAAATCTAGAGACCAC